AAACTTTGTATTAAATTTTCAAGTACCTATTTTGAAAGGGCCAAAAAAATTTTTTCGACACTTCAAAAAAAATTTTCAGAAAAATTGAAAATTTCAGTTGACAACATTTATCTCAAAAAAGGTCAAAATATTTTGAAAATTAAATCATGTAAAGAAAATAACTGGTAAAATTTTCATGAATCAACGACTTATAATTTTTGAATAATAGCAAATATTTAAAATCGTTTGAGGATAAATCGTTATCGTTATGCTATTTCTTAAAAATTTAAAATTCAAACGCACTTAAAATTTTTCCTTTAATGCTTGAGTTTTCTCTAAAGCTACTTGATAGAATGTTGTATTTTTAATCTTTAGTTATAAACACAAAAAAAATTATGATTTTTCAACTTCAAAATTACTTGCAAATTTTTGCGTTTTCGACAGATTTCGTAAAAATTTGAACTATAAACGCTTATTAAAAAAAAATGTGACTAACAATTTTTAATTTTTTTTTGCTACAATAATAACAGCTCATAAGGAACCTTGTATTAAATTTTCAAGTTTTTTGGTCATCCAACATTTTTTTACCGACACTTCAAAAAAATATTCTCAAAAAAATCGAAAATTTCAGTGGTCTATAAATAACTCAAAAAAGTCATGAATTTTTGGAAATTAAACTGTTTATCACAAACATAAAAATTTGGTAAAAATTTAGTGTACAATTTTTACAGTGATTAGTTTTAGAATTACAACCATATAAAAAAATCGATTTGGTCGAAAACTGGTTTTGCGTATAAATTTCCGTTTTTAGATTTTTTAAATAATCGGGATAAACAAACTAAAAATTAAGGGAAAAACAGGAAATTTTACGCACAATCAGTTTTCGACAATATCGATTTTGATTTTTGATGTCCGTTCAGAATCGTTTTTTGTTTACAATGATACCTATTATCATTGCAWTCAAATTTAAYCTACCCTAGTCAGAGGTCCACCCCACCCCMTAATGTACAGCAGAGCGACATCCACTTACCCGCTTTTTTATACTGCAATACAAAAATAAACCATTGCTAATATTGTGTTTATGTGTAACACATGAGATCAGATATTTATAAGCCAGCAGTACAAAGGCTATGGAAACTGACAAAATTGATAAATTCAAGTATGCACTGTTCAACTCTGTAGACATGATTTATAAAAACATATTGTTGGAACGTTGAAATTCTTCAAAATTTAGAAAATATCAGAAAAATAATTGTTATACAGTGTAATCACTAATCATGACATTTAAAGTACTAAACCTATGTAAACATTTTTATTTAGATCAAAAATGAATTAATCCCTTGTTCATATTTAATAGCTGTGTATTTAGTAATAAAATCATTTTAAATACACATAAAAGAGTATATACATTTTTTTGAATTAATATTAACCCTTTTTTACATATATTTGTTGTAAAAATTGGTATATTCAATAAATTATATAGCATAAAATGTATATTTTGAATGCATATTTTAATGTAATTTTGGTTATTAACTCCAAACTCTAATTATAAAATATGTAAAAKTTTAAAATTTCCTCAAATAATATTTTTAGAGTAAAAAAAAAAAAAACTAAAATTATAATTCTTCCTTTAAATAACTAATATCAATTTTA